GAAGGGAATGGTGGTCAGCTGTGTGTGTCTGAGGCACTGAAGTCAGAGAGGAAAACCCATGTTGCTGCTCAGTCTGCAGGGCTGTCAACAGAGGAATTAACTGGAAATATAAGTGGAATAGTCACCTTCTCCCTTGCTCCCCACGACTGAACACCGGCATTGAGGAAGGCATTTCCCCTCTCAACGCAGGAAATGAACAATTAATGGAAACTCAGGATTATCTTGAAGGTAATTCACTGAACTACGTGGCAGATCAATATAGGAAGTTGGACGTCTGACGAAGAAATAGCCTACAAGAGCAACACAGATAAAATTGAGGAGAGAAAATTGTCAAAGAAATAATAGAAGCAAATGCTTTGAGCCAAAGAGTGAAGTTTCCATATTGAAAGATCCCATGTCCTGCCCAACACAATGAGTGCAGAATGACTCAGACCTTGAGAGATCACTGTGGAACTCAAAGCTCAAAGAGAAAACAAAACAAACAAACAAAAAACCAGCTTGTCCACAAAGAAACAAGAAACACCTCGCACCACATGGCAAGCAGGGACCTTGGATATTGGTAATCCATGCAGACGTGATGGATTTGAAATTCTGAGGGAAAGAGAATTTTAACCTGAAGTTCTATATGTAGACACATGAACAGTCAAATGTGCAGGTAGAATTATTTTTAGGTATGTAAGGACGAGGAAATTTTCTGTCTCGTTTTATCTGCCTTCCTTTTTCTCAGGAAGTTGCTTGAGAATCTACCACATCTAGACGAAGGCTAAGAAAGAGAACTAGACGGGGTCCCAGAGATGGTGGATGCTGCCCCGGAGAGCAGCCATGTCTGCTCAGCAGCGCTGGAGTCTAGCTCAGGAGGTTGGAGCCGCACAGGCCTGTCGAGGGGAAAGGTGCAGGTGTACAGGCTGACTGAGCATATATGGATGTTCGGCTTCATTTCTAATAGCTTAATGGTTCAGCCGAATCCCAGAAGTTCGTTTTGAGACCGCCGAGACCGCATCCACCCCGCGAGCACAGAAGCCTCGCCCTCACCGTTCCGCCGCCGGTCCACACCCGCCACTTAGCTCGCCATGGATGACGATATTGCTGCGCTGGTCGTTGACAACGGCTCTGGCATGTGCAAGGCCGGTTTCGCAGGCGACAGTGCCCCTTGGGCTGTCTTCCCTTCCATCGTCGGGCGCCCGCGGCACCAGGGTGTGATGGTGGGCATGGGTCAGAAGGACTCGTACGTGGGCGATGAGGCCCAGAGCAAGAGAGGCATCCTGACCCTGAAGTACCCCATCGAGCATGGCATCGTCACCAACTGGGACGACATGGAGAAAATTTGGCACCACACTTTCTACAATGAGCTGCGTGTGGCCCCTGAGGAGCACCCTGTGCTGCTGACTGAAGCCCCCCTGAACCCCAAGGCTAACCGTGAGAAGATGACCCAGATCATGTTTGAGACCTTCAACACTCCAGCCATGTATGTGCCCATCCAGGCTGTGCTGTCCCTGTATGCCTCTGGCCGTACCACTGGCACCGTGATGGACTCTGGTGATGGGGTCACCCACACTGTGCCCATCTATGAGGGGTATGCCCTCCCTCATGCCATCCTGCGTCTGGACTTGGCTGGCCGGGACCTGACAGACTACCTCATGAAGATCCTCACCCAGCGTGGCTACAGCTTCACCACCACAGCTGAGCGGGAAATTGTGCGTGACATCAAGGAGAAGCTGTGTTACGTCGCCCTGGACTTCGAGCAGGAGATGGCCACAGCAGCCTCCAGCTCCTCCCTGGAGAAGAGCTACGAGCTGCCCGATGGCCAGGTGATCACCATTGGAAATGAGCGGTTCCGCTGCCCAGAGGCTCTGTTCCAGCCTTCCTTCCTGGGTGAGTTGAGACTACCACCTGGCCCCCATCTAACACAAGGACTACCCTTGGCCATGCTGTGGAAGCTGAGGTCTGGGTCCATTTCTCCTCAGGCATGGAATCCTGTGGCATCCATGAAACTACCTTCAACTCCATTATGAAGTGTGATGTGGACATCCGCAAGGACCTGTATGCCAACACAGTGCTGTCAGGTGGCACCACCATGTACCCTGGCATCGCCGACAGAATGCAGAAGGAGATCACTGCCCTGGCTCCCAGCACAATGAAGATCAAGATCATTGCTCCCCCTGAGCGCAAGTACTCCGTGTGGATCGGAGGCTCCATCCTGGCCTCGCTGTCCACCTTCCAAAAGATGTGGATCAGCAAGCAGGAGTATGATGAGTCTGGCCCCTCCATTGTCCACCGCAAATGCTTCTAGGTGGACCATTAGTTGCGTTACACCCTTTCTTGATAAAACCTAACTTGCGCAGAAAACAAGATGAGATTGGCATGGCTTTATTTGTTTTTTTTGTTTTGTTTTGTTTTGTTTTGTTCTTTTTTTGGCTTGACTCAGGATTTAAAAACTGGAATGGTGAAGATGACAGCAGTTGGAGCAAATATCCCCAAAGTTCTACAATGTGGCCGAGGACTTTGATTGTATATTCTTTTTTTTAATAGTCATTCCAAATATTGTGAGATGCGTTGTTACAGGAAGTCCCTTGCCCTCCCAAAAGCTGCCCCACTTCTCTCTAAGGAGAATGGCCCAGTCCTCCCAGTCCACACAGGGGAGGTGACAGCATTGCTTTTGTGTAAATTATGTAATGCAAAATTTTTTTAATCTTTGCCTTAATACTTTTTTATTTTGTTTTATTTTGAATGATCAGCCATTGTGGCCCCCTTTTTGTCCCCCAACTTCAGATGTATGAAGGCTTTTGGTCTCCCTGGGAGTGGGTGGAGGTGTGGAGGCAGCCAGGGCTTACCTGTACACTGACTTGAGACCAGTTCAATAAAAGTGCACACCTTAAAAAAAAAAAAAAAGAAGTTCGTTTTGAGATGTAGCTTTTCTTTTCTAATGAAACTATATTCTAATTTACATTGTGATTTCTTCACTAGATATTTAGATGGAGTATTTCTTAATTTCTAAACATATGAGGCTCCTAGTAATCTTTTTGTTATTGCTTTCTGGCTTAATTGCATTGTGGTTAAAGATACTCAGTTTGATTTCTATTCTTTAAAATTTGTTCAGACCTTCTTTACAGGGCAGCATATGGTTACTTTTTTTTTTTTTTAAAGTGTTCTGAGTGTGCTTGAAAAGAATGGGTAATTTACAGTTGCTGGGTGCAGTGTTCTAAATATGTCAATTAGGAGAGGTTTGTTTTTATGCCTGTTATTCGAATTTTTTATATCCTGGCTTGATTTTTGCCTGCGTGTTATATCAATTTCTGAGAAAGGTGTATTTAAATCCCCCACTGTCTTTATAGATTTGTTTATTCTCTTAGTAGTTTGGTCAGATTTTGCTTCGTTTATCTTGAGACTAAATTATTAAGTACATAAAAATTTTAAAGTGTTCTGTCTTTCCGGTAAATTAAGCCTTTTATCATAATGAAGTATCCTCTCAATCTCTGGTAATGTTTTTTGCCTTCAGTTTTATGATAGAGCTCACAAGATTTTTTTTCCAGGTGGCATTTGTATGGCCTCTTTTTTCTGTTATTTTACCATCAACTTCTCAGCTTCCTTGTTGTACATGTATCTCCTGTAAAGAGCATGTGGTTGTGATTTGTTTTTACATCCAAGTGGAAGATCTTTTCTTTTAATTGAAGCATTGAGTCGACTTACATTTAATATGATCATTGATTCACTTGGTTTACGTCTCTCGTCTGACTCTGTACCTTTCCCCCCTTCTCTTCTTTTAAATTGACTTTTGAAATTCATTTCTCGCCTCTACTGCCTTTGAAGTTACACATTCGTATCATTCTTTCATTGATTACCTAAGCGATGAGAACTTTGACTCATCGTGATTTACTAGTAATTGGTATCTTCACTGTCTCCCCGTCTAGGGTACTTAAGCTGCATTTACCCCTTTCTGATTATGTGCCATTGCTTTGCCATTTCAGTTTATGTGCATTTTAAATGCCGTAAGACATAATCGTCATTGGTTCATACAGCCCATATTACACACGTATTTCCCCTTTTCATTCCTCTTCATTTCTTGTACATCTTTGTCTTTTCATCTGCAGTAATTTTTCTTCAACTTCAAACACTTACTTTGAGGTTTTCTTTAACACAGTTCGCTTGTGACAAACTCTCTTGGTTTTGATGGTCTGAAAATGCCTTTATTCTGGTTTCATCTTGGTTTTTGGCCTCCAGTGAGGATATTTGTTTGCTTCTTGGAGGCACCTGGGGTCCTGAGCAGTCAGGAGAAGATGGGAAGTTAAGCTGGTCACCGCACGGGCTGGTACACCCCTCGCTCATCCTCACAGCCTTTTGGGGTTCCACACAAAACACAAGGAGTTTGTTAGGCTCTCCTGATCAAATATTGTCTCCCTACGGCCTAGAGACTTTCAAAAACTCTGAAATTAGCAAATATCCCCCAAGGGAAAGATGTTTGTCTCACTTCTCTATAGTTCCAACCTTTTTCTAGATATCAGCTTGGTGAGTCTTCCCTATCCTTTTAGCTCTTCAATATTTTCAGATGACTTTTGCTCTCTTTCGTCTCCAAATGACTTTTTCTTTCTTTTGCTGCTTATCTCTCTCCCTCCCTCCCCCTTCGTTTCTTCCTTCCTCCCTCTTTCCCCTCCTTCTTTCCTTCCATAGTCTCTGCCCTTACATGTCTGTGCCAGGCCACAGGATGAAGAAGTAGATACAAAGGTACAGGGGCCCACAGTTTAGGGCGACAGACATTTAATAGTCATGTATGTTGTTATTATTATTATTATTATTTTTTGAGACGGAGCCTCAAGCTGTCCCCCTGGGTAGAGTGCCATGGCATCATGCTCACAGCAACCTCCAACTCCTGGGCTCAAGCGAGTCTCCTGCCTCAGCCTCCCAAGTAGCTGGGACTACAGGCACCCGCCACAGCGCCTGGCCATTTTTTGGTTGCAGCCATCATTGTTGTTTGGCGGGCCCGGGCTGGGGATTCAAACCCACCACCTTAGGTGTATGTGGCTGGTGCCTTAGCTGCTTGAGCCACAGGCGCCGAGCCCATGTATGTTGTTATAGAAGTTAAATCTGTTGGGGTATCTCCAGTGTACACCAGTCATTGTAATCCAGTGTCGTAATAGGGTAAAAATAAAATGAGTAGGGGCAGAGAGGAAGGGATGGCATTCCACCTAAGAACCTTAGTACGTAAGTTTTGTGTGAAAAGTCTTAATGCATAAAAGGGAATTTCTAAGTTATCTGGAAAAATTTCTCACGTGTAGAAAATCTGATTTCCCAAGAGTGTTCTCTAATTGAAACACAGCTAAAACACACAAATGTTTTTGTAGTGATCATTTCAGTTTCATGAACATCGATTGAATTCCAAATTCTTGTCAGGAACTGTGCTAGACTCAATTGCTGCCCTGAGGAAACTGCCATCTTGTAAGTGAGACAAAACCATAAAAATAGCTCTCGCTCTCTGTAATTGTTGCCAAGACATAGATTTGTTGTATGGAATTATTCTTCATAGAGAAAGATTGGTCCCTGGAACAAAGATATCCAGGCACTAAAAACCACTTATAGTGGAAAGCAGATAGTTTCACGATGGTTATGCAGAAACACAGCAAAGTCGTTACAGCTCCCATGATGGGACTCGTTGCCTTTTCTTTCAGAGCAGTCTTGGGCATCTGTCCATCCTTCTTATGACCAACAGGAAGGAAAAAGATGAAATCTTTTACTTTAAAACTGATTTCGTTTAGACGATCTGACGATGGATCTTTTCAAAATATAGAATCTGAGTCATAGGCTGACAAATATATACTTAGCTGTGGACAAACACATGATGTCTTTCCCCTAAGCAGAGGGACTGCTTCTGTCGGCCAGACTTCAAGGCCACCGTCAGACCCAGATCAAGAGGGGGAAGAACGAGTTTCCAATTTCAGCCCCGACAGTTACTGGATCTATGACATTTCATGGCGCCTGCATGACACCCTAGTCCCCCACCTGACATATTAGCTAACAGGTAGTAGATGTTCAATAAATGTTGAACTAATATTCAACATCTCATTCAACTAATGTTGAACATCTCATTTCTACACCTGAAAAATGTGGATAGGCATTGCTGGGAGGATAAATTAAGTGAGGTAATGCTGTTAACAGGCTTTGTAAACGGTAAAGGGCAACGCGGAATGGACAGGATTGACTTATGACTTGAATCCGTATCCTGTTATGTTGACTCTAAGATAATTTCCTTATCCCTAAATTGGGTATGAGAGTCATGGTTATATTGAAGCTGTTTTTTTTTCCTTTCTGTTTGTTTTGCTTTTCTTTTTAGGAGGTTAGTCTTGATGAGGTTCATGGTATTTTTTGATGACAGGATATTGACGGAAATAGGATGCTCTTTAGAGTCAGATGAGAGGAATGGAAAACAGATCATCCTCACCAGCCATGTCAGTGAGGACTAATGAAAAACAAAGGCTGCCTTTTATTCAATGATGGTAGTTTCTCCCTGAGCCTCACCTAATTGTATTATTGAATGTTCTGGAGCCCTCCTCACTTATTTAACTATTATGATTCTTTACTTATGGGCTCCGAGATATCATTATGGTCTCCTCCCCCTAATGAAATGAGAGGCTTTAACTGAGTTAGCCCATCAACAGTCCCTGATGAAGCCTGACGGATCTCTCTGTGGACCACAGAGACCTGATAACAGAAAGGCCACGGCCACTTGCTTTCTCCACACTCACTTTCCTGAGCTGGATGAGTGACAAGAAACCATGATATCCTAAGAATCAGAAGGAATTCTCTCTGCCTCCTAGAGACCCAGGAAAGATTTAATGCTCTTGGAAAATTCCTTGTGTGGACTAAACCACAAGGATCGGTCTTCTGCGTGGGTGGGTGGGGGATGTAGAGTCTGATCTGGAGGTAGGCAGAGGGGAGGAGGAGTTCCCCTGGGAGGTGTGTGCAGGTGGCTGCTATACTATGCATTGGGTGGGGATGAAGGCTCCCTTTCTGAAGGGAAGGTCCTGGTTTTGGTCACTTACTGGAGTCCCTGGCTGACGTGGCCCCCAATCAGAGTCAGATTCCTAATCTGGCTGCTAACGCCGATAGATTTCTTAGTCTACATGGAGAGGGCAAAGTGAATGGTTGGCACTTAAGAGCATTGGGTGATGGGGTCACAGATAGATTTTAGGGGTTGAAATAGCAAAACTGGGGTAGCTGGAGTGCCCTGACTGGGAGTGCTGTCAAGGTGCTGGAGAGTGGCAGGAGGGGTTGTTGAACCCGCCATCTGGCTGCCTTCCAAAATTCACTCCTTTTCCACAGATGCCAATGCTTTTCAAGGGTTCATAGAAACAAAAAGAACCTATACTCCAATTGTTGATGATCCTGGTGAAGGGGCCTTCACCTCTGTTGAATCAATATGGTCATTCTTCTTTAACAGAATCATGACTTATTTTTACTGAGCATGTTCTAGATTCCAGATATTTTTACTAAAGATTTTATATGCATGATTGTAGATTTTTTTTTTTTTTTTGAAACAGGGTATTGCTCAGTTGCCCAGGCTGGAGTGCAGTGGTGTCATCATAGCTCACTGCAACCTCAAACTCCTGGGCTCAGGAGATCTTCCTGCCTCAGCCTCCAGAGTAGCTGGGACTTCAGGTGTGTGCCACCATACCCAGCTCAAGCTGGTCACAAACTCCTGAGGTCAAGCAATCTTCTTGCCTCAGCCTCCTAAAGTACTAGGATTACAGGCGTGAGCCATCATGCCTGGCCTGTATTTTGTATTTATTCCAATCCTTTTGAGTTAGTTACTACTTACAGATAAGGAAACTGAGGCTCAGAATGGTCAAGTAACTTGCCTACTATCACATGTCTCATTTCCACTTGATACAAGGAAGAAG